GCAAGAACGTGCTGAAGAAGTCCGATCTGGCCTACAAGCAGGAGGGCGAGGGCACCTCCCACGTGCAGCTTTGCTGCAGGTAGAAGTTAGAAGTGTCGTGCGAAGTGTCGTGCAGGTATGCACTCATTTTCCGTTTTTGTTGCACGTGATGTGTCCATACAGCTTTGCCAAGGTACCGACTGATCTTGAAGCCCGACAACACCGCGAAGGTGGAGATCGACGGCGAGAGCATCTACGAGGGCTCCCTGAAGGAGGACTGGGAGCTCTTGGCGCCCAAGGAGATCAAGGATCCTGAGGACAAGAAGCCCAGCGACTGGGTTGACGACAGCATGATGGATGACCCTGAGGACAAGAAGCCAGATGGCTGGGTGGAGGAGAAGCGCATCGTCGACTCTAAGGCCACCAAGCCTGACGACTGGGACGACGAGGAGGATGGGGAGTGGGAGGCCCCCATGATCGACAATCCCGACTACAAGGGCGAGTGGACTGTGAAGCGAATCTCCAACCCAGCCTACAAGGGCTTCTGGGAGGCCAAGAAGATCGCCAACCCGGAATACGTCGATGACGACAACCTCTACAAGTACGAGGACTTCGGCTTCATCGGCTTCGACCTGTGGCAGGTGAAGGGCAACACCATCTTCGACAACATCATCATCACCGATGACGTTGCTTGGTTTTGAGGGTTACCGTAGCTGTTATCGCACAGAGCATCCTTATATAGCCCAGTACATCCTTCGGGTTCCCAGGGCAGCCCAGCGTTTAGGGTTGAACGGTTTAGGGTTTCGGGGTTCGGGGTTGAGGGTTAAGGGTTTGCATGTTACTGACAGCATGGCGCTGCACAGATCAGGTCTAGGATTTGGGGCTTATGCCATAGCAAGGCCGGTCTGGATGGTCTCATGAACAGCCGCTTCTATCCCTAAGGTTCCAAGTACCCAAGTAATGGGGCTTTAGGCCCCAAATACCGTAATCTGCATTGTAATTGGGACCTAAAACCCCAATACTTGGGTACCTGGATCCTCTAGGGGTGGTACTGACAACACAAAGAAAGATCCTACTGATAAAGACAAACATCGCAACAGTACGAGCAGCGAGGATGACTGATGAGCTGTCAACATCCTTGTTACAAAAGGAAATCAGGGCTGGACAGTGCCATTACGTGAGATCCTCAAGACATTCAATCGTGAAGGTCTCACATCGGCTGGTACCCTCACTGTATGCCCTAGCCTAAACCCTAAACATCCCTAAAGCCTAAACCCTAAACACTGAACCCTAAACTCTGAGCCCCAAATGAGCTGTCCAGTCCTAGTCTCTGTATGTCAGTTGGTTCCCTGTGGGCTGCGCCTACAACTGTTGTTATACCGGTTATACAGGGTTTACGGTTTAGGGCTTTGGGGTTCAGGGTTCAGGGCTTAGGGTTTAAGGTTCAGGCCTCAAATCTCCATCGGGATCCACTTGTAGACGTTTGGCTACCAAGATTGCACTACCTGCACCCCTTCCTGACTATCTTTAGGGGTTTTGGACCATAAGTTTGCCTACCTGCGGAGTCCAGGTATCCCCTAAAGCTCCAAACAATCCAAAATATGTACCATGTATGGACTCTAAGGGCGAAAAAAGAAATAGATTGTGGCGTTACAACTTTACAAGATCTGGCCCTCAACCTTCCACCAGACTGCAGAGTCAGAATCCTCAAAAGTGACAATGCATTTTCGAGTTTCCAGATCTTACTCTCATTCCTACCGGCTCAAGGCTTTAGGCTGTTATCTTACAATCGTAGTAGCTGAGCAGGTAACCTTCGCCCTTATGGGCATTTACACATTTTCCTTCACATATATATAGATACCCTAAACCTTTAACCCTAAATTTATGTGGACCAGAATTGGTTTGCTCAACTTTTTTGAGGGGCTGGGGAACCAAGCAAGTTGGCTTTACAGTGACTTCCCAAGTGATGCCACTGGGGAGGCCTATGGATGTTGTGAGGTTTAGGGTGTAGGGTTGTCGTAAAACCCAATCCTAAAGCCTAAGCCCTAAACCTTAACATAAAGACATTGAACGTTAAAGCCGAAACTACCTTAAACCTAATACCTTGAACTTCAGAGCCTAAACCTCAAAGCCGAAACATGAAACCCAAAGCCCCGACGAGCATTCTTAGGTGAAGGAGGCAGATGCCTTCGTGGAGAAGTGGAAGGCCCTCAGTGAGGTGGAGAAGGCCTGGAAGCTCGAATTGGGTTTAGGGTTTGGTGCCTAGGGTTTAGAGTTTAGTGTTATGGGTAAACCCTGAACCCTAGGGTTTAGAGCTTAGGGTTCCAAGGGTTCAAGAAATTGTATAGCGTTCATGTCCTTTGTTTTGTGCGAGTCTTTCTTTGTGCTGTGTGGCCCTATACAATTTTTACGTACTCTGGGCTGGGCTTAGGACTCGAATTCGGTGGTTTTTCATACCACAAACCATTCAGGTTATGGGAGTTTGGTGCCCAAAGAAATCACATTTGAATCCTCAGATTTTTTCGAGAACTTCCCAAACTTTTTTCCAACAATCTGGGATCTCTTTTGTGAATGTCGAAACTATAGGGGAGCTTTAGGTATTTCGGAGTAGATGGGGGGAGCCCTGAATTGTGGAGGGTATGTGCCAACCCTTGAGCCACCCTCAACCCCAACAGTTTGAGTATATTGGGATTATACTGGGTTTATATTGGGATAATGGAAAATATATTGGAGACTACTAGGGATTGTAAGGATCATTATTGGGATTGTATTCAGTTTTACCCTAAACTCCGGAAGCTTTAGACGGCGACGGCACGGTGGCCTCTTCGGTTTGGGGCTAAGGGTTGGCAAGAGCGACACATCTCAAACCCCAAGCCTGAAGCCCTAAACCCTGAACCCTAAAGCCTATATAACCCAATATGTTGGTTTCCATTATCCCAATATAACTCTACCTAAACCCCAAAAGTATGTAAAATAATAGCCCTAAACCCGTAAAAACAGCCTCAAAGGCCATAATTCTACACACTTTTTGGGGGTCCAGGTAATATAACCCAAATATTACCCATCGTCAACCCTGAACTTCAAACTTCCTAAGCCCCAAATCGTAGTTTCCATTTTCTTTTTCCAGTATCCCTAGAGGGATAATGGAAAGAAAATGGAAACTACGATTTAGGGTTTAGGGTTTAGGGAGATATATAACCCCTATAACTCTTCAGGTTTTAAGGCTCAACTCTTTTGGGGTTAAGAGGTTAACTAGGGCCCAGCCCCATGGGATCTTGGGGGTTACGGCTCAAGCAGTAAGGTTTGACGGTGTAGCGGCAGGGTGATGAAGTTTCACAGCTTCTTCGTGGCTAGGGTTTTGGGGCTTTAGGGAGATCGCATTCCGCCTTGTAAGGCCAAGAAGAAGGAAGAGGACGACAAGAAAGCGGAGGAGCAGTCATTTGGAGTGTGGCCTATAACCTCTTCCAAGGTAACATGCACCTGCGAAAAGTACTGAAGTATACTGAAGTCTTTGTAGGGCCCTCTTTACTTTGGCTCAATGTTGGTTTGAGGGAATGTAAGTTTTGGAAGTGTACCCTAATCAGAGAGCCTTTGTTGAGGTTGTTTTTGATTCTATGAGGGTCAATGGTTTTGTAGACATGGAACCTACATGCTTTCCTTTCGCATGTATGCGGAGCATCTGGGACAGCTTACTGTTGTACGGAGCTCCCCTACGTTTCTTGGAGCACATATCCAATCGGTCTCCATAAGCTGCGTGGAGAAGCCCAGAGTTAGTGGCTTCAATACTAACACCCCCAGAATACCCTCCCCAGATCTAGAACCCTACCCTAAACCCTAATCCCTAAACCTTATTAGGCCCTAGTATGGCCCTATATAGTCCCTATAAGCTCCTTCAACCCTGTGGGGGTACCGGTTGGGGGGATGACAAGGAACCGCTGAGCAGCTGTGACTTCGTTCAAGCTGTTGTTTAGGGTTCAGGGTTTTACAGTTGTTGTTGTGGGTTTTAGGGTTCAGGGCCTTTCAGGGTTGAGGGCTTTCTGGGTTTTTAGGGTTTAGAGTTTTTCGCGATCACGGCCTCCTCATGGTCATCAGGAGACAACACTGGAAACAGAGGTACTTAGGAGGCAACCATCATCTTGACAGGTTTCCAGAACATGGAAGAGAGGAGGTGCGAATCAGTCAAATCTAGCAGCCACCATGGCATTCGAAAAGCCTCGTAAAAGTTGGTTGCTGTTTAGGGTTTAGGTTTCAGCGCTTAGTGTTTTAGGTTAATACATCTACGCCAGTACGGAGCTAGTAAAGGCATACGTTGATACGTTGCACAAGCCTGCAAAATTATGTATGTCGTTCCCTTACATCTAACCCCAACCCTATAGACCCTAAACCTTAAACCATCTTAAACCCAAACCCCTAAGCTCTTCCCCCTTCCATAAACCCCTGAACCTTGACACTCCTCAATTAAGCCCTAAACCCTAAATCCTTCAGCCCTAAATCCTAAAACCCTGAACCTTAACTCCTTAAGGAACCCTAAGCCCTGAAGCCCTTGAACCCGAAACCCACAGAGTTCCGTAACGTTGGCAGGAGGCCAAAAAGGCTGCCGAGGCTTCCAAGGAGGAGGAGGAGGATGATGCAGCTCGACACGTAAAACTCGGCCTTAAGGAAAAGAACGCGAATAAAGCCATGAATGAGCCCTAAGCGTGCGCTGCCGCATGCTGTTGGCCTTCCTGTCGCAGCCATGGATTCCCCCCTAGACGACCTCCCCTAGACTCATAGTAGGCTCAAGGTTTAGGTCAGGAGTGTGAGGGCGTACGTAGGGTCCATGAAACAACCTTGGCTGTAGTCTAAGGATGACAAGGACGACGAAGAGGACTGAGGGATGTGATGGACAACACCTTTGGGGCCGTTCCGAATTAGGATCTCCCCTGGGGTGTCCTTTGCTGATCTGACGTAGCAGTCTGAATACTGGTAGTGTAGACGCCTGAGAAAGTGCCAGTATTGTTCCCTGCTTACAGTCCTAGTTTTAGTGTAGTGCGCCCCAAAACGCTATGCTAATCACTTACGCCCTTACATTACAATCCCAAGCACAGTTGTCATGTCATGTTCCATTCGGCTATTCATTATTCAAAGCCCCAAGCCCTAAACCTTGCATTGTGTTTAGCTGGGGGCTTTTGGGGTTGGGGTAGTATTTGCGAGGCTTGCCTAGGTCACTCTGTAGCCATCATACATGAAGGTTGCAGCATAGGCGTCGAGATGATTTGGCCCTAGAGATCCAAATTGCCCAAAGTAGTTAGGGTTTAGGGTCTAGGGTTGCAATTACTTTGTTGTGGCGGTGTCCCAAAATTGGACTCGCCTTGTTAGGGGTCCCCAGAATCAGGATTCTTTTTTGGGGGTTACGCTCAGGCTTCTAAAGGAGAAACACAGACACGTAGCATGCACAGACACAGAGATATCCCAGGTCACTCCGTTCCTCCTAGCCGGTAGCTACAGGTCTCACCCAGTTTTGCTTGCGCAGATTTCGGCTTAGATGTCCGCTATGTCATACGCACGGCGTACATGATGCTACTCGGAGCTTTTGCCTGGAGCAACTTAGAGTTTCAGGTTTCGCCCGAATAGCCCGTGGAAAGACCCGGAAAGACCTGCGTGCTGCAATAATGTAGAAGCCTGAACTATGAATATTCTTCCCTACCACTCCTTCTGCAAGTATACATACTGGTAGCTGATATAAGCCACAAAGCCCTCTTAGACTCCTTGAGGCCCCTACATTGCGTGCAGCATGCTGCGCTATCCACCCGAAGAAAAGTGCCAAGGGGTTTTGAGTGTAAGGGTTCAGGGTTTAGGAGTTTGGGGCTTAGGGTTTAGGCAACGCAGGAAAACAACCCAAGTCCTAATAGTCATAATCCAGGGAGCATCTGTCAGTTTGTTCCTATAGACTCGAACTACAACTTGATTATACGGTGGATGGACAAAATCGTGCATGACCTGATAGATCAAGAGCACGCAATTGTCAGCGATCGAGCTCCCCCTGCCCCTCCAATTTCAATGTTGCTAACACATACCGGTCATGCAGATTTCGGTCATTCGCGCACGTAGCCCTTTTGACCATTTTGGTGTAATCAATATTAAAATTCAGGGTTGGCAGGGATGGCTGGCGGAAGAAAAGTGATGCAGGATTTCGTCCATCAACAGTATGACATGCACGTTTCGTAACACGCCTACCTAGCTTCTTGCTGCCTTTACCTACCGTTCAGTGGTTACACTTGCAGTCTAAACTCCTAGTACCCCCCTTAGCATCCCCAAGAATACTCCGCTATAGAATCCCCCATATAACACCTTTAAGGAGTTTAGGGTTTAGGGTTTAGGGTATATACCCCCTTTAAGGAGTTTATAGTAGGGTTTAGGGTATAGCTCATGTGGGGATAGACTTCAGAGTGGTTATCCCGCTTAGTGCTCGTAGGATGGTCTCCCAAGAGCCTAAACCCTAAACCCTAAACCTAAATCCCAGGGCCGGCGTTCCCGGGCCGGCTTTAGAAGGGCTCTCTTGAAACTGAGGTACGGTAATGTAGACCCATGATTAATAAACCCCCTTCTTTTTAAGGGCCGTAATATTATTATGGTTCAGATGAGTAGTAGTTTATTTGGTGATACTATGGTACCCATTATAGAGTAAGATTCTATCCTCCTTTTGGGTATAGTATTTTATATAAGGAATACAATCTTACTAGGTTCAACCACCAAAAAAAACGATACTCAGATGGAACTCCGGATGTGTCATCTGGATATGTAGAAGGGTCAGGTCGCCTGCAGGCCGTGCGCTGCGTGGGTTGATCATGAAGGCCCAGTTACCTGAACAGTAGGCTACTGGGCTATGTAACTATAGGGTATATAGTGCCCAGCTCCCATTTTTATGGTAACTGGAGCCCTAGGGTGTGAAGGCCCAGTTACAAGAAAACAGGGTTTCCATTCCCATAGACTTGAACCTCTTTCTACCCCAAGATCCTGAAACCTAGGCCTGTACAGGCTCAACAAGCATCATGTCCTTTTTCCTCAGGCAATAATTGGCTGACGCACCATTAAACCCTAAACCTAAACCCTTACCCACCTGCCTTGTGAATCCCAATGGGCTCCAGCCAGTTTTGTGAATTCGCCCTCCTGCGTCCTTCCCATCTTCAACTCGCCAGCCATGCGACGATCTGCGCCTGGACTCTCATTGAAATACCTCTTTGGGTTTAGCGTTTGGGGTTCAGGGTCTATCGGTTTAGTGTGTAAGGATGAGGAATGCAGACCTATTGTAGTTGCCCCTACGAAAACTCCAACATAGTAGTTTCCATGGTCTTTTCCGTTCCTTTAGTCCCTGCTAACCAGAGGTAGGCAGAGGGTGTTTACCATCCTCGCCCTAGACCGCGCGAAGGTTTTCCGACCTCTAGAGAAGGCAGGGTCAGGCACCGGGTGGGTTAAAACAAATTGCAACCGAAACCCTAAGCCCTAAAACCCTGAACACTAGTATCCTAAACGCTTGTTATGACCTCGCCTACTAGCAATTAGTTTTTTGAGGAAGCCCAAAAGTCAACTGTATGGTGTTGCATGAACTCAACATTGAACCCCCTAAACCTTAAACCGTAAACCTTAAAACCTAAACCCTAAACCTTAAACTCTATAAACCTTAAACCAACAGCATGCCGAGAACCAACATGCATGCCCATATAGCCCCCTTCTAAGGGGACCGTGGTCTATATAAGGTTTCGGGTTTAGGATTTAGGGTATCCAACCCAAAACCGTATAGCTTGGATACTGCCCCCCTCGCCACAAGTTTATTTTCAAAGCAATGTGAATAGATGGAGCTCCTAATAATTAATACTAGCCCGCACATCCACATCACCCTACGCCCTAAACCCTAGAACCAGGCCCTGAACCATCAGGTGCTCTATGTTGGCACCCTGGCGGTGGCCAGTGGCAAGGCTGGGTATGGTTCATGTTTTCAGGCTTTGGGGTTTAGGGAGCCAGGGCACTACCGAGACTTCAAAAGTGGGCAAAATAGTGGCCCACTCTCGCCGTCCCAAAAAAGTAGTTCAAAGGCAATTATTCCATATGAGATTCTTGGGGTTGAGGCACGGGGTTGAGGGCTTTGGCTGTTGGGCTTGTTTGATGGGCTGCGCCGCTACCCTTCAACTTCGCTAGGACCTTCCTAGTACCCTTAATTGGGGCTATAGCGCCCCTGATATTGGGGGGTTACTTGGGCCTGAACCGAGGATAGTTGGAGGGTCTAGGCAAGGCTTTTGGTCTCTTGAACCATGGAAGTTGCTCCAAATTCTGTCAGGTCTACTTCTCCGAGACCTTCGGCGATGGATGGGAGTTTCTAAGCAGCATTCGGAAAAAGTTGGTAAGAAAAGTTGCTTTTTGTGGTTGTGGTGCTGGTGGTGCTGGTGCCGGTGCCGCTGCTGCTGCTGCTGCTGCTGCTGCTGCTGCTGCTGCTCTTGTCAGCTGAGAGAGGGCAACTACTTCAGGGGCCATAAGCATCGCGCAAGTTCACCAAACCTTGTGCAACGTA